TCCCAGGCTGCTCCAAGCCCCATCCAACCTGCCCTTCAACACTGCCAGGGATGGGGCAGCCACAGCTTCTCTGGCCAACCTGGGCCAGGCTCTCCCCACCCTCACAGCCCAGAATTTCTCCCTCACATCTCAGCTCCAGCTCCCTCTGCCAGCTGGAAACCCTTCCCCCTGCTCCCATCCCTCCCTGCCCTTGTCCCAAGCCCCTCCCCAGCTTTCCTGGAGCCCCTTCAGGCACTGGAAGCTGCTCTAAGGTCTCCCTGGAGCCTTCTCTTCTCCCAGCTCAACACCCCAACTCTCCCAGCCTGTCTCCAGAGCAGAGCTGCTCCAGCCCTCCCAGCATCTCCGGGGCCTCCTCTGGCCTCTCTCCAACAGCTCCATGTCCTTCTGATGTTGGGGACCCCAGAGGTGGCCCCAGCCCTGCAGGGGGGTCTCAGCAGAGCAAATGGGGAGAACCCCCTCCCTGGCACTGCTGACCATGCATCTTTTGTTGCAGCCCAGGACAGGGTTGACTTTAACAGGTGGGATCATAACCCCCACCCTTTTTTTGCTCCCTGAGGCAAGCAGCACACACCCTCTTAACTCTACCCTGGAACCCTTTTCAGGGAGAAGCTGTCCTCTCCAGGTGACAGCACTGCTGCAGCTTTGTCACTAAGGACCAACCCCCACTGCACCCTGGCAGAAACATAAAACTTCTTACCTGGAAAACGATGTGATTTGTGAACACGTGTTTAATACAACAAACAAAATACTCTGTTTCTGCTTCTGTGAGCTGCACTGGTTCTGAAGACCTGAACAATGGACCCAAGCTCTTAAACTCTGGAATGGCTGCCAGTTGTTCTGCAGAGAAAGGACAGGATGACACTTAAGTGACAGGTTCATTGCTCCTGTCTGACCTGTGGCAACTGTCCTAACAATCCAAGCACTGGAGACCAACAGATGTTCTCTCCTACCTTGGAATATATCCTGACGTGAAGGTGCCACCTTCTCAGGCTTGCTGGTCACCAGGGCAATCTCTGAGGAGACAAAAAAGCAGGGAGATTGTCCTCTCAGCTATACCATGCAGGAGTTTTAAATGCTGTTGTATCTCCACTAAAAATTCCTCCACCTGCAGCTCTTCACACATTCTGCTGCAAAGCTTTGCCAGCCTGGATCCTCACACACATGCAAACCAGACCCTGGCCCAGGTTGCCCAGGGAAGCTGTGGCTGCTCCATCCCTGGCAGTGTTGAAGGGCAGGTTGGATGAGGCTTGGAGCAGCCTGGAATGGTGGGAGGTGTCCCTGCCCATACATAGAATGAATGGTGAAGGTTGGAAGGGACCTTCAAGATCATCAGGTTCCAACCTCCCTGCCATGGGCAGGGACACCTCCC